TTCTGTTTTCTGGATGACATACTTATTGTGTCAAAGGGAAGTGAAATCGAACATGCAAACTTAGTAGAAGCAGTATTAAAGAAATTGGATGCGGAAAATTTGGCATTGAAACTATCAAAATGTGAATTTTTCAAACAAGAAGTGAATTGGTTGGGTCATCATCTCTCAGAAGAAGGGGTTAGACCAAAAATCACTAAAACGGAAGCGGTAGTAAACTTGAACACGCCGAAATCTCTAAAGCAACTAAGGTCATTCTTGGGAAGCATAAATCACTTAGCTAAATTTATACCTAACGTAGCAAGTCTGACTGAGAGATTAAGACCACTTCTTAAAGAAGAAAATCAAAAGAAAAAATTAAAAAACATGAAACTCCCGGTGAAAAAATTCGAATGGGGAGATGATCACACAGTAGTATTTAATGCTATAAAAGAGGCGGTGGCAAATATTACGAAAGTACACTATTACGATGCAAATCGTGAAACACGAGTTAAATGCGATGCTAGCCATGATGGGCTAGGGGCTACTTTAGAACAACAAAATGATGAAGAGCTATGGGTCCCAATTTCGTTCGCATCCCGATACTTAAACGCCCAAGAAAAAAAATATTCAACAAATGAGTTGGAGTTATTGGCAGTTGTTTGGGCAGTAGATAGATATAAACACTACCTTCTGGGGAAACCATTTACCATCGCAACTGACCACAAAGCGCTTACAACAGCATTGGATGTTAACCAATCGAACAAGACCTACCAATCACGTTTAACCCGGTGGGTTGACCGGTTACTGCCATATCAGTTCAACATAGTTCACATTCCGGGGAGGGATATGGGCATAGTTGATTATTTATCGCGTGATCCTTTCAATGATCCCTGGCCCGAATCAGAATTAGACGAAAAGTTTGTAGTAGCGACAATAAACTCCTTTCATGAAGCGTTCGACTGCTGGAACAGTAGGCTTAAAGCATCAAGGTCGCTCAACCGGAACGAAAACGTTCTAGAATGTTCTAGAAGGAATGCTAGGAAACAGTCATCAAGTAATGGTTGCTATAGCAACCAAAACGGTCAAAACCGAACAAAGCTCGACCGGAACGAGAGAAAACAGTTTCCACGACTGCAAAAACAGCTAAACACAACAGTTCACCAAAAACAAATCACTCTTTCGTCAAATCAACCCAGCAAACAGTCAGTCTTAAATAATTGCAAAATCAAAAAACGACCAGTACTGAGAAAAAGAGAAAAAACAGACTCAAGGATCGAGATGTCAGGAAATGAAAACAGATCATACGACTGGTGGTCGAGCTCACCACAAGATTGGCGGAAGGAGGAGCGCGAAGAAAGCCTAATGGACACAAAGTGGAACCGATCACTTTCCAACACTAACGAACTCTCGGGAGAGGAGGAGATCACAGAGACAGTTCAACGTACGAGAAAAATAATACGAGGGGGCCGAAAAAATAGGGACAGCTCCGACAGCGAAACACGTCATGCACAACGAGTAAAATGGTCGTTGGAACCGGACCAACGAAGAATAGCGGATCAAAGACTGCTCTCATTCTGGCAGTTAATAGCCGGAGATAACGATGTTCAGGAAAATTGAGAACTGGTGGCTCATACCCAAGAAGTCAGCGACAGCTTGGAACACGAATCGAGTTCAACATCGCCTAAACCGATCGCATCGGCGGAACGGAAACTCAGTGAGGTGAATGTAATAGAAGTGGACCTGACAACCACAGAGGAGGCGGAGAGTGAGGAGGAAGTGTGCTCAATTCAACCGCCAAAGGGACTGGGCAAGAGACTGCAAAAGCAGCAACAAGTAGAGACCCTGGACAACCTCGCAAAACTGTTCGACAAAAACTTACTAGCAGAATTGACCACAGAAGACACGTGGATGGACCGCCTCAGGCGAGTGGTAGAGAGAGGGGACAAACAAGGATTCGAATTGATGGGACCTTATACAAATCCGTTGTGGTCACAGATGGCAGTTCAGGACGACTGCATCTTGGTGAATAATCGGCTAGCAGTACCAATTCAACTAAGACAAGCTGTCCTGAAACGAATACATCGAGGGCACCCAGGACAGGAAGCTATGTTGGGAGCAGCGCAATATCTGTGGTGGCCACACATGAATAAGGACATTGTGAATTTGGCAGAGGAGTGTCGTAGCTGTACCAGATATGGTAAGAATGTAAAATACCTTATTTCGAAAAATTCGTCAAAACCACTGCCACTGCTCACGCAGCCGGGACAGGAGGTACAACTAGACTACGCGGGGCCTATAGAAAATCAAAAAGGAAAAAAAATCTACCTTTTAGTAGCTATAGATCGATTCTCGAAATTTCCATCAGTGAAGGTTACAAAATCCACAAGTAGAAAGTGCACAGTAAAATTCTTGAGATCATATATCGACACACATGGAGTCCCTGAATCAATTCGTTCGGACCAATTTTCAGGCTTTAAGGGAAAAACTCTAAAAAATTCTGTTCGGAACTCAATATCGAGCAAAAATTCTGTCCGGTGGGGGACCACAGAGGTTGTGGTTTGGTTGAACGTACAATTCAAACAATAAAAAGAAGACTGGGAGTGATGATGCTCGAAGAAAATAATAAATCAATCAAATTATGTCTCAGCACTATAATGAGAGATTTACGGTGGAACAAGCAGAAAACAATTCAAGTATCCCCGTTTCAAGCACATTTCGGCAGACTACCAAAATCAGAATTTAAAATTGTGAGGGATAGGTTTTTAAATAATTCTGATTATTTAGACAAACAGCACTTGGAACGCTCAGCACTGACGGCCTCTCAAATGAAACGGAGAATTGACCAGTCGAGAGAGAATCTAAAAATAGTGCGCAAGGGACAACTGAGCAGGGATACAAGCCCACTGCACAAGCAGCAGCTAACATCGGACCGAGACAAAGAAAGGGCCAAAGCTCTAAAGGAATTGTTGGAGGCGAACGCCCGCTGGAACTACGAAAGAAGGGACGCGGCTAAAAACGGCATCAGGAAATTAGTGGACGAGACAGGGCAACTCAATCCCGATCTTCGAAAGGAAATGATCTACTCTTGGGAGAAAGGATTTGTGGAGGACAAAGTAGAAAATCAATGTAAATCACCACCAAAGACAATACTTCGAAAGGATCCACTAAGGAAAAGCGGACAAGCCTTAACCAGACCAATAAAGGGGAAAATCGCTTCAGAAACGGACTCAACAATTAAGACATCGGCCGGTTCGATTTATAGGAAATCGGATATAGCCCAATCAAAAACGGTACTGACGCAAGAAAATCAGCGAAGCACGAGTAAAAGTCCATCGTCGGAACCTACAAAAAAAAATTTAAGCGAATCAGTTCTCCAGAACTACTAGAGCAGATGGAATCGGAGGACGAACTTCAAGGAGAAATGGAAATCGCAGATGCAATGAATCCAATAGAGCGCTTTCAGAAGAGCCAAACAATAGTCACTTCAAGGGACACAGAAGCCGGGGGAGGCTTGAATCTTGCAGTCAAAAGAGCAAAACCCAATTTGGCGGGCCCAAAACCAAATACAGGCGCATGGCCCAGTTTTGTGAGCTAAATTTTTTGACAAGCAATTTTTTTCAAAGCATCAAAAAATTTTTGATGAACTGATAATACAAAAAAATGTTTCCATGATAAATCTTTTTGTGAAATTTTTGTTTGAAAAATTGGTCATTAATTTGTGGTGAAATAATTTTTCTGAAAAAATTACTGAAATACTAGTCAAAATTTATCTCAATAAAAAGACCAACTCAAACGTAATTATTTTGTCATTTTTTATGCACCCGGGTTGATTAAAAAAATGCTTGTCATTCAATTTCATTATATGGAAAAATTTATCATCAGGGTAAGAGGGGGGGGGGGGGGTAAGTGGGGGGGGGGGGGGGGGTAAATAGGTAGGTAGGGGTAGGGGTAAGTAGGGGTGGGGTAGGGTTAAGAAGAATAAACAGGGGGAAAGGGTGAACGTGAGTGGAGAAAATGACTGGTAAGAGGATTAAACGGGCGTTATAAAATTGAGTAGACTTAGAATTCGAGTAGGCCGTGAGTATTTTCATTTTGCATAAAAAGTATAGAGATTATAATCCATTGTAATCAATATTAATGGATTTTAATTGAATTATAATTTAATATAAGGGATTTAAACGGATTGTGTTTTTATGGAAATAATCGATTATAATACAAAATAGTCAATTTCGTGGTCTAAATTTGCTACTATAATGGATTATAATGACAATATTTGTTTGACAACTTTTTTCCATTATAATCGATTTTTATCCATAAAACTGTCGCGGGATGCCTCATTGTGCCGCCTTTTTTTCAATCCACAATTTGAATTGACAGAAAGGCTTCGAAAAATCTTCCCAAGTTGCGCTGGTAATCGTCATCAATTTCAATTACAAAAAATTTAAAAATCAGGGCAAAGACTTGGATGTTCTGAGTGTCCTGTAACATCTGTGAAAAAGTTAAAGGTTACGAAAAATGATACAAATTACAAATTACAAAAAACTGTTCTTCATTTTATCCTGCTACGCGCTATCTAAAGTACAAATGAGTATAGTACTTACCTGAATTTTTAAAAGAAAATTTTCAGTATTGTCTAAAGCGTTTCGTATGAATTTCTATTAATGAAAACTACCAATGTATCTATGTACCTTATTATCTGATTCTCTATGGGGAAATAAGGAAAAATTCAAGCAAACAGCGCCAAAAAAATCAAAAAATCAGGCCATTAATGTAATAATTTTGTGTTCAAGCCAGACACTTATAATCAAACACCATGAAATTGTAACCAAATACGTTTACAATACAGTGCGTGTCGGGAGAATACCAAAAAGGCATCAAGCTGCCGGTGACATCTTAGGTGAAATGAGACAAGTTCTTGCTTCTGAATAGCCTCTGCTTCGAGATGGGGGGAGGGGTTTCGTGTTCAGTAATAGTTGGGTGAGCCTAAGTTGATGTGAGTGGATTGTATACTTATGTCGTACCTTTGGGTGCAGCTCCCAGAATATGACAGAGGAGTTGTCTGCGGCACAGTGGAACAGAGCATCCTCACCCACCCCCACCTCCTCATCCTTCGGCTCCACTCTGAACGCCATGGAGTCTAAACAGTGCCTCATAATGAATTTGACCATGACATCATAACCAAAACACAAAAAAGGGACCTCTTACTCCCCCTGTTCAATTTTACTCATCGCTTTTTGTCTGACACTCAACTGCTCGTGTATAATAATTAGGTCCCCCCTCTCTTGCTTCTTATTTTTGCTTACCCTTCACCACCAGATGCACCACTGACTCACTCTTGGCAACAACCCACCCCCTTTTTCCTCCCCCTCTCTCTGTTATGTTGTTGTTGATGCTGCTGTTGTAGGGTGTCGGTGGGGGGTTTTGGACGGCGGAGTAGAGATAGGCTGTGCATATGTAAGTGCCTGCTGTCTGTTTGCTCACATTCCGGATAGACAGAGACCCATCCTCAGTCGTCCAAGCTCTATCAAACACAATAAAAACCCAGTATGATATAAGTATAAGAACAGTTTTGTACTCATAATAATGATAAAAAATTAATTGTTTCCAAAGGATATCTAGTTACAGAGTTCTTCATATAAATTCACAAAAACTAAATCGATTGGGAGAACACTATTAGACCAGCACGAAACGTATTCAGATATCTCATTAAGCACAGATTAAAAAGATGTCTTACTTCTTAGATCCAATGGATCGGTCTATTGGTAGAATTTTTTAAGATGTACAACTCTTAATACATTTCTTAAAAACTTTTTTCTTTTTTTTTCTTTTTTTTTCGTTTTTTCGCTGGCGTTATCCACATAAAATTTAGAAACCACAAGAAACAGATTCTTAAGAATTCAGCAAAAAAAACTCTCAAACGCTATAAAATTGTGTTTCCAGAAAAGTAGTTTTCAAAAATTTATGATTAAAACTATTTTTTGAATCAACAAGAAGCCCCGTTAAAAAATTAAACACTTCAAAATAACTGACTCAATAACAAAAACACTAATTGCTAATCAGTACCAAATGCGTCACTTTATTGAGTATTTTCAAAGTTTTCTTCTTATTCGAAGGTTAAATTATGATTTGTATGACACATCGGATCTACTTAACAATCCCCCCCCCCCCATTGTATCTACTAAAGAATCTCCCCCCCCTTTATTGAAAGGGGGAGATTGTTAAGTAGATCCGACAGATCTGTTGTCTAGGCGTGTGATACCTGAGAGGATCTAGAGGGGCTCCCACTTTGGACCAGGAGACATGGACTGAACCATCACCCCTTCTGCTACTGTTACTACTGTTACTACTGCTGCTGTGTCTGATGTCTGCTGACTCTTCTGTCATAGTTGAACTTGTAGTTGTTGCTGTTGTTGTTGTTTTTGGCATGTGGGCGTGGCAGAGAATTAGAGAGTGTGTTCCAGTGAGAAGGGTCACTTCCCTCTCCTTCCCGGTGGAGAACAGAGGCAGATCTAAATAAACATACACTCTCACACACATACCCAATCGAATTTTTCAAAACAAAAGCCTGGTCGAGCTTTCTATTTATAAATTGACTATCACGACCCAGGCTCGATATGCTTAGACTGTTCGACGCACGACTAATTTTGGCTGAAGAAAGTCCGTGCGAGGAAAAAAAATATGCCGAAAGTTAGCAAAAACTCGTCCATTTTGATTCAATTCCTAAGAGTCAATAGATAAAACAGAGCGGGAGATGAAAGATAGTTACAGTTCAAATATGGAGTGATGCCTGAAATTTACACAAAACTAAAGCAAAATATTACCAAATACAGTGTTAATTTAAATTATCCGGACAGAGCGAATAAAACTGGAAACTGAAAGGGCATTTTTCACAAATAGAAGTTAGAAGTTTATCGTAATCAATACGGTGCAATTTATTCTGCAAAGCTCGGACTAAAAATTTTTCACCAAAAACGAATAGTTTGGTTTTTTGGTGTCTGGTGTCAATCAAAAATTATGACAAAACTGCTGGGTCTATTGCTAACGAAATTATATCAAGGTGAGCCTTAAATGTAACCTTACAAAAATTAAGCAGAGTATGGTATCTCAATTGTGTATAAACAAGTTTCCTTTTATATAATAGCCAAAAAATGTTGATTTTACTACTTACCTTTTTTTTAATTTTAACAACAATTTTCTAAAATTTTTACCCAAATTTTTAGAATTTATACCCATCAAGTTATAATCTTCAAACATTTTTGTTCAACGATTAAAAGTTATTTTTTCAAATATGTTTTTATGGTAAAAATGACATTTTTTATCTAACAAATAAAAGTAATTGTTTTTACAAATTGAAAAAATTATACCTCGCTTAAATTTTACTGGTCGACTGTTTATTGGGCACCACGAAAAGCTCAATTTAATAAAATTTTGTCAGCAATTGACCCTATCGTTTTGGTGTGTTTCTGTTTGACTATTGAAGCCAAAAGTGAATTGTTTTCGCCAAAACTTCTTGACCCGAAACTTGCAAAAAAAGTTTGCACCATATTAATTATGCTAAATTTCTACGTTCTGTTATTATCTTTTTTTCTTCAAAGTTGCACTGTAAAAGATACTGCGCGGAAGTTTATAGAGCAAAGCCCTGAATGCAACGAGTGCTCCTCAATCTGTATTGAATAATTTTTGGTCAAAAATTGAAAAAACAGAACTTTCAGACAATATCAAACATCATGAAGAAATTTTTGAGTCGACCGACAATACCATGACAGCTTGCCCAAATTCAATTTGGATTGATTTGGTAGCGCTGATAAATCGCCACGCATGAAATATTTGCATTATGCTTCCCGCATCATAATATTAATCTTCAAAGTGCGCATAAATTAATCCAGAATGTTCATACACCCAGAACTTACTAGGAGGGTTTTTTTGTATTTGAACTCAGGCAGTCAATACCTTTAATATGGTGCAAAATTTTGACAAAAACTATTGCTTCGATCGCCAAAACTTGATTGAGTAAATAAAACAAATTGACTGCTCGCACATCAGGGTGAAGCCCTTGATGTTCCGACTGCACTTTGAAGCCAATGTAAAAATTGTTGATTGAAAAGTGAACGTATCAAAAAATGAAGAAAAAGGAAAACAGTGAAAAAAACAGATTTTGCTCTGTCAGTTTGTCACTTTGTCAAAGTTTTCAGACTATTACCGACCGTTTTTCAGATTCGAAAGTAATCTATGACACTCGTTGCAGTTCTCTCGCTTTCAAACGGATTTTTGGCACCAGTTCTTGACGACTTAGCTTTCCAGTCTCCAACGTAAATTTTTGGTAATGATACTCTGAACGTGCTCCATTGGAAGTATTTGAAGAGCATTTTACGGGTTATTTCAGTTTTCTCCTGTACAGAAATGTTTTTTTTTATTTCAGTCATTCTATGATATTTTGGGTAGTCGTTAGAGACTAAAAGGCAGTATGGCTTGCTGCTCAAATCAATACTTTCTTTAGACATTTTTTCCCAAAAAATTTGATCTCATCAGGGGTGTCAATCGACACTTTTATTTTCCAGCAAATCTTCTGCCTTAATTCGGAGAGAAATTTCTGTCGTAAATGACAACTTCGATACTTGATTGACATTTTACTCTCATGAAGCCTAGATTATTGTTGTTTTGCTTGAATTTTTGCAGTTGTGTCGAGTTTTGAAACTTCATTGAAATTTTTTCTAATAAATGGTCAGTTTCTATAGACTGCGACAAATTGTTGACTGGTATGCATTGCACTGGCCGTCCTTTTAAGCCAATTTTTGTGCGTTGTATAATTGTTGTTACCATTCGTTGTACACAGCCTGAAAAATATCAACCCTGGTCGGAACTGGTCCTCATTTTAGTCTCCTTGTTCCATGGAGGGTGCTGAATCCACTTTAGAAAAAACGAGCTGAAAGAGCCCAATATTTAGCAAATTGGGCTCCATTTTTGGTCCTCGTTTTTTCAGTATGGGGTTGAACGGGCCCATTTTTTCAAAATCGTACGTCTACTTTAAAAGAAAATTTTAATGCATCCCCAAAAAAGCGTGGATAAAACTGATAATTTGTGTCAATTTCAACGCATCACGTCGTAATAACAGGGGTAGTCAGTTGCTGTGTAGTTTGTTTAAGTTTAAAACAAGTTCTGATAGTCTCCCATGGCATCAATGGCTGCTTCTTAATTCAAGACGCAGTGCAGTGTCTTTATTCCCATCTTCAATGAAATTAATTGAAATTAAATTGATCAAAACTGAAGTGGTCCTCAAAAGTTTCATTTATTTGCAAAGATAGTCTGTTCAGAGCATGACCTTAATATCCCAAAATAGTAGAAGTCCATTGCCATGCTTCGCAGCTTACGTGTAATTGGTGGGGAGGGGGGGGAATTGTGACTTGTGTTTACCGTAAACTAGGAGGCTGACTTTGTGGACAGGGTAGTAGCTGATGATCGGCCCCTCCCTCCCCTTCTCTGCTCCACTTCCCTCTCCCCAGTCCTGCTCTTTTCCCTGTCGTCGTCTACTGAGTGGTGGTGCTGATGTGTGACGTAGTAATGTGGCCATGCAAGTGTAGATGCCGGAGTCCCCCCTTCCAACGGGGAAGATGGTCAACTGGGGGCATTGCTTGGATGCGGATGATGGCGTTGCACACACCTCCACTGAGAAGCTGCAAGATATTTGAAAATGATCTGTGTCAAATGGAATAGACAGAAACATAGTAGTGGACTTTTCCAGACAACTGGGAAGTGCACCGATCACTATGAGATCGCAAATGAGAAAAATGTCAATGATTCTTTGTTCTCAGTTTGTCGGGAAGGGGATAGGAGGGGGGGGGGCTGGTAGGTACAGTTCCCCTAAAAATTAGGTGCCCTCTTTTGGCACTTTGTTACTATTTTACCACATCAATTACTGGGTGACTGACCCTAAAGTGTTTCTGACGACGACTTCCATGCCAAAATACACTGATTTTGAGAAACGAGTAGGGCGCGAATAAAACTAGGTATTTTTAGTAAAAAGCTTCAGAAAGAAACCTAAAATGCAATCTAAACGTATTTTAAACGTATTTAATGAATAATATCCAATTTGTCATGAGCACGCGTTCTCATGCTAAAAAGTACATCTTTCCACGATAAAGTTGAGGCATGCTTTTTCATACGACTACGAAATTTATGATTTGTATTTAGAATGATCCTTAAATATACAAAAATTTGAAATTTTTCTGTACATTTTAAAACATTTAGGCGCTCTCTATTCACATCAGACAATTTAACAAATTTTTCGTAATTTTTAAGGGTTTTATTTTTAGTTGGTGCTGTATTTGTTAAGAAAAAAATAATTTCTCATCGAAGTTCTTAAAGTGCTGAATGTTTTGGATTGTTCTAGATATGAGCCTCTGCGTTCTTATTAACTCTTTCTAATGCGAAAGAAGGTAAACCAATTAATTCAATAACATGAAGGAGTTTTCTTACAAACTTAGTTGCGGGAGGTTTCCCCACATACTTTCTGTATTTGGTAGCCTTTAAATACAATTAAGTACCTCTTGATTAAGTTTTGAACGGCCAAAAATGGCAGTCGATTTTTCAAAACAGGCAACTGTCAAACCGACTGATTTCTAAAACGTCTGATTTTTTAGATTTTTAGGTACCCATTTTAGAAACTGATAAAAGTTTAGATAACTGATAAATACTTGGTAAATTTTTTTTATCTATCTCTCTCCTTAGTGGGGACATAATCGCATATGAGCAGGAGCATTTGAACATTTAAGTGAGTAGCATATGAGCAGGAGCATTTGAACATTTAAGAATCTTTGCTTCCATGAAAGCTGACAAGTTGCATCTAACTAGTCATTTACGCAATGTGGCTTCCTTGTCACCCATTTCTCCCAGTCTCGTTTTCTGTCTTCTTCCGCTCTCTCTTATTCTCTCCTAATCCTCTTCTCTTTGGAATATACCTGTCTAATCTACCTGTATGTCAAAAGAAATTCAATACAATCTCCGCTTATTCCAACCTCCCATCGTCTCCCAGTTTATTACAGTCTCCTATGTTGCCTAAATTGTGACTACTGTGTCAAGGTAGGAGAGTAGACCAGTCCCCTTTTCCCCTGCAGCAGTGTTATATCTAGGTTACTTCTAATAATATATGTCACAGCAGCAGTGACCATACAAATAAACAAAGAAGACTGCTCGTATGGTATGAGAGGACCGAACTATGAACGTTTTGAATGCCCTTAAAGGCGTCTAAAATAAGTCTTAGAATCGTTTGAACATCCCTCCCTTAGACGCTTCGAAAAGTGCAAAGTGATGATTCTAAGACCACTAGCAGTCAAGAATTTGAGCTGAGGGGAGTTCCGGCTAAATTTTAAGTTTTCACAGTTCAAAATTATTAAATTTTTTGATAACTTAGTTATTTTGTAGAAAAAAAATGAAGCCCATTATTGTTGTTGTTTCTGATAATGCACTATTTAAAGCTGATAAACGTCTGATACATGAAAAGAACTTGCCGTTTACAAAATTTCCTTGATTGACCTCTTGTTTTTGAACATAATTTGATATGTTCAATTATCCATTGATATCCATTGATAGCCATTGAAGCTGAAAATATACAAAAAAGCCAAGAATCAGTTCGAAAATTAGTTTAAAAATGAACAAGACTGCTCGTATCAGGGCGAACCTCTAAATGTTCCGACTGCCTTTTCAGGTTTATGGAGCAGTAGAAAAATGAAAAAATTAATTGTAATAAAACAAACGAACCTTTTTTAAAATATGATATTTTTTGTGAAAATCATCCCCCCACCCGCCATATAAAGTACAAAGTGACAGATTTCACTTCTAGTAACAAACCAATTACGGCAAATGAGCTTCCTTCAACCAATTTGGAACGATTTCTTAGACGGATGAAATCTCTGCTTACACGTTAATAGCGCGAAATATATCGCGCGTTAATTGTCCCAAATTGACTAAAATGGCAATCTTTAAACCCCCATAATTTTACGAAAAATGATCAGAGGTGAAACATTTTTTCAGCTTTAAGCCCAAGACAACAATTCCCTATTTATTGATATATGATAGTTCCGTCAAAAATGTCTAGTTAAAAAGTCGAGTTTTGTCTGAAGAAAAAAACCCACCCGAGCACAAATATTCCTTTATTTTCGTTACGAAAGTCAAAACAATATTTGTACATATAATTTTACAGCTTGAAAATTTTAGCATCATGCCTGAGTTCCGTAAATTTTACCTCCAATCAGGCAATAACGAGTGTGATAAAAGCTACCCAAACAGTAGACCAGTAGATAGTTGTGTCACACTAAATTTAGACAAAAAAAGATGACGAAGAAACTTGTTTGAAATTTGATTCGAACTAATTTGCTGTTATTACTTTCAGTCTTAGTTTTTTTTACTTTTTTTAATGGGCTGAGCATTTTAGAAGACAAAAAAAATGTCTAAAAACTGAATGGAAAAAATGTTGGACATTTTTGACGACTCGCAATGGCTATTTTGATACATAAACAGCCATTTTATTGTTTGGAAATGCGGTTGTAACATTGTTAACCAGCATTCTTAATGCGAATTTTTTTTTGTTTTTACAGAAGTGATTTTATTTTAACTCGTATACAAATTTGCCCGATAGTTTTCTTCAGGTCCGAATTTTACCCTCGTGTCCAAAAATTACGCAAGAAAAAACTACATAAAACTTTTAATGGAACTGTAAAAACCTAAGCATTTTTGTCTTCAATAGTTTTTATTCCCACTTTCGAAGAAAGTGAGAAATATATATGTCTGGGGTGGTTTTTCATTAAAACCAAATTCAAAATATTTGACAGCGCATGGGTATCGGTCCAAAATCTCTGAGTTGCCAGGCAAGTATGCTTGCACTAGGCACTCCGACGGCAATAGACTTGCGCTAGAATGCAGATGGCAGCGCGGTTTGTATCAGACTTTCAATACGCGAATTTTTCATGCGTGGCTAATTATCCGCACTCATAATTAATCCAATTTGAATTGAGGCCAGCTACAATTGTAAGGCACAACTCAAACGTAAAGGGTTGGCATTTGATATTAGCAGCACAAAAAATTTTGCGTCATATAAAATGCAGTCAGAAATGTACGAGCAGTCTTGTTATCTTAAATTCTCTCAAATTGAGCAAAAACCCGGGTTGACCAAAAATGCTAGTCATACAATTTCCATATATGGAAAAATGCTGGTTATACACTTTTCATGCAATTCCATAAGTACAGAAAATTGCATGAAAAGTCTATGATTAATGATTTTTCGTATATGGAAATTGTATGACTAGCATTTTTCCATAAACCAAAAGTTTTGATATTTTAGCCAAAAATATTTTACAATTTAGTTTCTCAAAATTTTTTGGTTGTGTTCATAACCGAACACAAGTGACAAAAATCTTGGTTACTCAAACGTAGAGTAAGCACAGGTTTAACCCTCTTGCATTAAAAATGCATTGGAAACGGCCTGAAATGTCTTAAGCCTGTCTTTCCTTCTTTCATGAAAAATATAACGAAATTATCAAACTTTTAATTTTTGGCAAAAATTTCAACAATGATTTTTTTTCAAAATTTGAATTTTCAATTTATCAGACATTGATCAAGGCATGCAAAACATGCCATACAAAAGAAATAGGAGTTTTATGCGTTTTTGAGAAAAGTTATTCTCGAAAAGCTATAAAAGGCGAAAGGAAAAAAAAATCCAATATTAGTGTATTCAGGACTACGCTATGCACAAAAAAATTAAATTTTCATGCAAATATTTTTTTTGAAAAATGTTTGTTTGAGTACAAAAATGTTTGTTTGAGTACAAAAGTAGAGAGATCCAATTCTTGCAAGATTTCATTGCATAGAATCGGATTTAAAATTTCTCTGCCTAGAATCGGATTATGAATGAATATTGGAAGAGACCATAATAGCTGTAAATTGTTCTTGAGTATAATCAGCTGTTTTTGAGTATATTTCATCAATAATAAATACTGATGAAATAATTTTTGATTTTTGTACAAATTAGACAAATTAGCTGAATTTGTATCTTTCAATGTTTCTCCAATATTCATTTTTAATCTGGTTCTTGGCAGTGAATATCTAGATCCGACTCTAGGTTGTAAAACCAAGTAGAAAAACAGTGATGAAATAAATAAATATTGACTTTTGAATTTAGATTTTATATATGTATCCCTTTGTCTGTAGACAAATATATTTTAGCTATATATGGTGTGGAATTTTGCTTGGTAGAAGAACTATAACCATCTTCACTGAAGAGCCTGAGAGACAATTTACTGAACTTATCAAAAACAGCAAAATAAATTGAAAAAAAAATTTCAAAAAAGCAAAACTGTGCATTCTTCTAGCAAACTGAATGCATATCTTGAAAAAATCTTGCAAGATAAATTTTAATCTTGCAAGTTAAAAGCAAGAATAACGCATTTTCTTGCAAAACATCTTCAAAGTCACTCGCAACTTCTTGCTAAAGTTAGAGTAATCAGATAACCCCAAAGCTGTCTCCCTTTAGGTTTCTAATGTCTTTCCTTTGTCTTCTGATTATCATCTCCATCTCCACTCAAACCCTTTTATTCTCACATTTACCTCTAAATAATCTAATGACCCCCCCCCCCCCCCCTCTCTAATAAACTATTTGAATTAGACTGCAATCGGAGTCAACTCACGCCTCTTTTGTAGCATAAGTGCTTAATTTCCCTCTCAATTAAGGTACTTTCTATCAAGTTGATGACACGAAGCCACTTCATGCACTATATTCCACTAATTGAGTCGTGCGAACTAAATGGGCTCCTAAATTATGGATAATAAGCTTTAATTAAGTCTAGGCAAAAGATATTACGCATAATAATCAAACCCCGACATCGCTGAGAACTGCGTTTCTCTTTCGGATTAACATGATAGGCTAAGATCACCAAAAATGATATGTGGATCATTCAGTGATGAATGCGAAGTCGAATATGTGAAACAAAATATGCGACTTCAGATGGGTTTTTGTAATAACTTTCATGAACACTGGTAACACGGGCACTAAATCACGACAATTTAGTACGATTTATACAAGAAGAAAGTGACCAATTAGGAGTCGCTTGGTTTTTTACAGAGAACCGGCTGTTGTGTTCGTAGAATAAAGTTATTTGCAATTTGTCTGGTTACTTTTCTGAGGTGGGTAATGTAATCTTACCTTAATGGGCTTATCATAATGGGCCTCGAACATCCGACCTTTCGACTGGGGGTAGAGAATTAGTAGCCCACTTCCACATGGCTCCAGTATTTAGTAAGTTACGGCATTAAAAGTATTTTGTACTCACCGCGGGTGGTGATGATGTCCCCCCTTTGTGGTCTCTATGTCTTCCTCGTATCTGTCTGGTGGTAAAATTGGACCCCCTGGACCCTCCCACCCATAAGACACCATCACTGAGTCCCCTGAAGCTGATGCTTCTTTGTATGCTGCTGACCCCCCAGAGACCACCGCTGAGTGATCCCCACCCGCGCCAGTACTGCCGTGGGCACAGGTCAACTGCACCCTGTCCCCACCCAAGGCTACAACCTCCTCGCTTGTTCCCCGCCACCTCATGGACATCACCCCACTGGGCGACGAAGAGGGATAGGTAGAAAGTGCTCCCGAGGAAATTGTGATCAAGATGATCGAGAAGAAACCTGTTGTAATAAAGAAGACATCGGTTCTTATGCTGATTATACTTGTTTGGAATATAAATAAAAGTTCAATGAAAAACAATTGGTACTCCAATTGTAGTGCTGCAGAAAACTTAAACAATTTATAACCAAACTTTTCAATTTCAATAAGACCCTTAATTTGCAGTGACGGTTGCCAAGTAATTGGTCGAAATATTTTTTGAAGTGCTCAAAAATGACGTATTTTTTCCGCAAAAATTACCTTCGTAAAGCTTTTAAGCATCAAAAATTTATACTTTTATCGATTATTTGCATTTAACTTAAATAAATTTGCGAGTTAAAGATCAAAAATGAAGTGTGCTTAAGCCATAATTTGACATGAAAAAAAATTATACTTATTTTCTTATTTAGAAAAAATTTTAAAAAAATTCTTACAGATTTTTCCGAATGGCTCAGCAATTAGCATTGCTCAATAAAATTAAGGCAAAGCAAGTTTCGACTCGTTAATGAAAAATTTATGCAAACTTCGCGCGTAAGTATGATCGCCAATTGCCCCAAATGACAAATCTCAAACCCATAAAATCTGCTCTAAATGTCGCATATAGTCCTACCCTCTTTTGGCAAGCTCGCAACACGTTGGCGCGACTGCGGTGGTTACTATTATTCGTTGAATTGTCTTTGGTCGAATTGTCTGGACGCGTTTGCCAATAAATGTAATCATAGGCTTATACATTTTCTTGAAATTAGTTTGAACTAATTTATATTTGTTGATGAGACTTTTTTTTTCAATAGACCGAAAATGTCGCGAGTTATGTATCCCAAAAAACACACTTGTGTATTTGGTGTTTGTGTCATGTTTGAAACACAATCGCAAAATTTTAAACTCTTTTGCAATATTTGATATACTAGGCAAACATTTAAAACAACAATGCAAAGTCTATTCTAGAACAATCAAATAAAAGGAGTTAAATAATAAAAAATAGTGCAAGCGTAACTTTTCTTCAAACGTGTGTTTTCTTATGTTTCATACCAAACAAGCAGCAGATTATAGTGCATCTTGAAGTTCGTCCACTTCTTAACATAGCATGTTTTGACCTATTCAAAAAACTTCTCGCTGCAATATATGGATGTTGAAATTCGCAGAAATTAACAATAAAAGTTCGCAGGTGATATCTTTTGTGGAATTTTTGAGCTCAAATAACACTTGCTTTTCAGATTTTAGAAAAAAAATTGTCAAAACCCTCTGGTTAAAAAGTCGGAACTCGTCTAAAGAAAAAAGAAAGACGCCCAGAGCAATTATTCAATGCTTTCTGCAAAAAACGGAACAAAATGATAGATTTCGTCCCAACAATTGTAATGCTAAAACACTTTTTTCCAGTTTCTGAAACAAACGAATTCTTATTTGTTTTTGCTCCAAAACATAAACAAGATTGCTCGTATCAGGGCGAAGCCCTGAATGTTTCGACTGCCTTTTAAGGTCTAAAAATGAAAAATTTAAATACAATAAATTGAATTAATTTTTTTTAATTTTCCCCCCTCACGCCATTTAAATACAAAGTGGTAGATTTTGCTCCTATTAACAAAATAATTATAACATAAAATCTTCCTTGAATAAATTTGGAACAATTTTTAAGACGGATAAAATCTCCGCGTACCCGTTAATAGCGCGAAATATATCGCGCGTTAATTGTCCCAAATTGGTCGAAATGGCAATCTTCAAACCCCCATAACTGTACGAAAATGATCACAATCGAGTATCTTGCCAAATTTAAGCTCAAGACAACAATAGCTTTCGATTGATATTTAAAACAGCCGTCAAAAATGGCTAGTGAAGAAAAAAACCCACTCCGAGCACAAGTTTTCCGTTACTTTCGTTACGAAAGTCGGAACAATAACAATAACCACTTTTGGTCAATGTCATCCAATGAAACTCTGTAGAAAAGTGTGTCATGAAAGAGTTTTGCTGACTTGAAGTATGATGATGATGTTTATAAAAAAAGCTATAACATCTAAAATTATCTGATGTCTGCCTGCCATTAAATTAGAAACAAATCTCCAGACTGTTTTCCTTATGATATCACATAAATGGCCTTTTTCGTATATAAAACTTAAGACAAGACTGCTAGTATCAGGGCGAAGCCCTGAATGTTCCGACTGCTTTTTAATGTTTATGGAGCAGTAATAACCTATAAAAAAATTAAAGGTAAAAAAATTAAATTTAATGAAATTTTTTTTTCTAAAATAAGAAATTTTTTATGAAAATCATCACCCCACACGCCATACAAAGTACAAAAGGATAGATTTCGTTTCTTGTAACAAATCAATTATGGCAAATAAGCTTCTTTCATCCAATTTCGAACGATTTCTAAGACGGATTAAATCTCCGCTTACGCGTTAATAGCGCGAAATATATCGCGCGTTAATTGTCGCAAATTGGCCAAAATAGCAATCTTTAAACCCCCATAACTTTACGAAAAATGATCACAGGTGAAATATCTTTTCAAATTTAAGCTCAGGATAACAATAGTTTTCGAATGATATAAAAAATTCCCTCAAAAATGGCTAGTTAAAAAGTCGAAATTTGTCTGAAGAAAAAAAAACCCACCCCGAGCACAAATATTCCGTTACTTTCGTATCGAAAGTCGGAACAAAAAAGATAGGTATATATCAGAACATTTTTTTCGAAACCACTCCCTCCCCAGAGAAATATTCCTTCGAACGCCACTGTTTGTAAACGCACTTTGCAATTTCGTTGAGTTTGTGATCCCACGTGTTTTTCCAAGTGTCTAGGGATTTTGAACTGAAAATTTGGGTTACTTTTGTTATTTGTTGTGGCGATATTTTCATGTTTAGAAATTGTATTGGCGATTACATATAACTGACTATCTGTGACTAAGTATAACTGTTTAGACTCTGATTATGGACGAGAATGAATAATTGAATAGTTATTTAAAGGAGCGGCTACCCACAGACAATTCTCACAACCATTTTCCACCACAGCTATTTAAGTGTTTGACATGAGAATTTTT